GGAGGGGACAGCGGTGGGACGTGGGTCATCACGGAGCTCGGTGCGTGTCGGGTCTGGGGTGCGCGGAAGTGTCCGCTCGCCTCCGGGGCCGCTCCGCCGCCCCGCAGCACGCCAGGAGGGGCAGATGCGCTGTCGCCGCGGGGGAGAGTCTGGTGTCTGCCAGCACCCGTGAGTAACAGTTCCACGTTTGACAAGTGATGTGGAAGGAGCTGGGCTGAAGTTATCCCAGCATCATTATGTCTAAAAAGCAGATACATAGGCGGTGTGTTTCTCTGTTGGATAGGGCAAGTCGGCCTTTTGTAAATACGTTGTCAGGATTTCTGTGTGTTCTTGAAATAAGCTGCCATTACATTAGTTTTCCAAACAGTGATATTTTCATCTTGTCATAAAAAAAAATTTAAAATGCTGCAATTTGCAAACAAAGTTGGTACAAGATCGTTGATGTACCTGCATTAAAGTTTCCTTCAAATAATCTTCCACAGCTTGTGTTGTCCTTCATGTCCCTCTGGCAGAGGTTACCAGCACTACAAATTTTGTAATGTGGCACTGGAAGGCTGAGGAACTAGTGCATATGAATGGTTTTTCTCCATTCTTGGTAGGAAGGCATGGCATATGTTTTGGAGGATAATTTTTTATGTTACTGAGTGTGAATTCCCAGTGCGTACATGGAAGTAATATAAATGTTGCTGCCGAAGAGGTCGCTTTTCTCTCCTAGATATGAATGGTGACCTCCTCAATAGATTTGACCAAAAGGAGCATGTGCTAGTGCTGGACCACAGCCACTTCATAACTTAAATTCTACTTTCACTGTCCATTCAAGGGAAGGTGTTGGCCATCTGTTGGGTACTAATCCATATTGGAATGCAGGCAGCAGCAGTTACTTTACTGTTGTGATCTGACATCACAAAACTGATACTTCCTTCTCAGAAGTATATATTCAGAGTATTCTTACTTTTAACTGTTGCTAGCATTGCAGCCCAAAGATAGCCAGAGGGGTTTCAGCTGTGCCAAAAGTATTTTTACAGTCTGGAGACTATTACTTATAGCAGTACATGATCCATGATTTTACAAATGCACTTAACAAAGTTAAGACAGCTTTAATTAGCCATCTCTTTCTAAAAAAACATCTGGCTGTACAATACCATGCTTCATCACCACTGTGAGTATAACGCTGCATATCTAAGGTGCCTTCCAGGTGCATTATCTTTTGGATTTAGGCCTGTCTGCTTCTATACAAACTGTAAACTCTCAATTTTTCCCTCATAAATAGCATGTCTGATTTTCCGTACAGACATACAGCCAAGGGATCGAATTAGCCTGCCAAAAAGAAAGAGAGTTCGTGAAACACTCTGTAGAATGCACGTGGAACCTAGCAGAAGCCCAGCAAAAACTTGGTAGCTTAGCGCTGCATAATTCAGAATCCTGCGATCAGGAATTTGCTCAAGCAAAGACTGAAGCTGCAGAGTTGAGATGGAGAGAGGAAGAGTGGAGAAGAAAAGAAGAAGCACTAAACCAGAGGGAAAGACAGAATCTATGGAACACAGATCCTGTTAGTAAGGAGGTTTTTAATAAGGTATGACTCATATCAGTGTGCACGAAAAGAAGTGTTAGCCTCTTTTTTTTAGTTCTGCTTGTTACTAGTCTTGAGTGTCTTCTGTGTCCAGTACAGCACAAAACCACAGTATCTGTTAACAGGTTTTTTTCTTGCTTTACCTCATGAAAGGGAATGTGCTGTACTCGTACTACAAATCTGGATGACGCTTCTCTGCCAGAAGTGTGGGTCAGAGTTTGCATGGGTCATCTAGGTATTAGAAATGAACCGTTGATGCACACTTGCAGCCCAGAAAGCCAACCATGTCCTGGGCCACATCAAAAGGAGGCATGACCAGCAGGTCGAGGGAGGTGATTCTGCCCCTCTACTCTGCTTTCGTGAGACCCCACCTGGAGTACTGCATCCAGCTCTGGGGTCCCTGTGGAAGAGAAAGACATGGAGCTGTTGGAGCGAGTCCAGAGGAGGGCCCCAAAAATGATCAGAGGGCTGAGTACCTCTGCTGTGAAGACAGGCTGAGAGAGTTGGGCTCATTCAGCCTGGAGAGGGGAAGGGGCTGGGGAGCCCTTATTGACCTTATTGTGGCCTTTCAATGCTTAAGGAGAGATATTTTTTTCTTTTTATCACAGCCTGTAGTGATAGGACAAGGGGCAATGGTTTTTAACTGCAAGAGGGTAGGTTTAGTTTGGATATAAGGAAGAAATTTTTTATGATGAGGGTGGTGAAACACTGGAACAGGTTGCCCAGAGAAGTTGTGGCTGCCCCCTCCCTGGAAGCAATATAGGCCAGACTGGATGGGGCTTTGAGCAACATGATCTAGTGGAGGGTGTCCCAGCCCATGGCAGTGGGGGGTGGAACTAGATGATCTTTTAAATGTCCCTTCCAATGCAAACCACTCTAAGATTCTATGTACTGCAAGTGTTGCCAAATGGGCTGAACAATAGTTTCTTCAATTGAAGAGCGTGCTTCTCTATGCAAAATTCTTAAAATGTGAAACTGTTCATTTGCCTCTAATAATAATTACTGTAATACAGATTATTCAGAACAAACTTTTTTTATGGTAGAATCTCAGCTTTGATTTTACAATTTAATTTGAACAGCTAGCACATCTCATAGTTTCACTGATGTAGCTTCACACAGGCTGCAACATACGTGATTCTCATTGTTGATAAATCAGTAAGTTCCTACCTGAGGACAGAAGTTTCTGAGAGTTCTTAGGTCAGTAGACTATAATGAGACTTCTAAACTCTACTATTTGGTAATGCACTTCTTAAAACAAAACCTTCTCAAGTATATGACATGAGTCTAAAATTAGAATATAGCCTTTTAAAAAGTAACATATTAAAATATAATATTCCTATATATCACAAAAAGGTATGTCTGGAGTTTCTGTGACAGTACAATTTTTCTTTTCCTCAGAGTTTTATTAATCAAAAAAGAAAAGAAATAGAAGATGAAGATGCGTCTGAACCACTTATGCAGAAACACGAACAAAAGATTAGACACTTTGGTGAGTGTGCTTTTTCCAACATTTTGCGGTTCAAACTTCTACAGAATTTGTGTAGGTTTGCTCCTTATTGTACAGAATGAATGCTAACAAATGAAAGACCTGGCTAACAGACTGTTCAGCTTTATTTTATCAGGACAGACAATAATCTCAAAGCACAGTAAGGTGTAAACTGTAGAAGCTTGTTAGTTCCTGTGACCAATAAGAACTTAAATTAAAAATAAAATATAAAAGCTAGTACTTAAATGACCTTAAGCCCTGAAAACTAAAGTTCTAGCAACTTTTTCTGCTCTTAGTGGGGAAGAAGCAGGGACATTCATGGAAATATAAGTTGTGTGTATAAAAGCATCTGGGATTGTCCACAGCTATCTCCTTTTAATAAACGTTTTTCTGGTGGGTATTAAGCCAGAAGTGTAATGACTGATTAAAGGGAAATGTCTGTAAACACCCACTGAGAGTATCTGTGCATGGAATTGTGCTTTTCTTAAAATTATATTTAATTATCCACTAGGTGTCACTTTAGCACTGTTAGAATTGTTGAACCAAATTAAGCACAAAGCTGATCTTGTAAAGTAATCTGAAATTTTGATGGTTCTCTGAAGTGCTTTCCATTCTTAGTTACAGGTTGGTTTCAGCCTGTGGTATAGTATAGCCATATTTGGAATTCCAGAACAATCAAAACCAGGACTGAGTTGGAAAAATTCAATTCTCTGTACAAACTAAGTTTTTACTAAGCTATTTGGCTTTTAAGGATCTTAGACTGTCTTAAAGGGTTTCTAGCCCTGGTAGCCTTAGCAAGCCTTGCATGTAGCAAGTTGAGGCACCACACTGTCGAGAGTATGCAAATAGCAGTGATAGGCACAGGTTCTCTCAAATACCTTAACTACTAAGTGTAATGGTAGCAGAATCAGGAGAGGTCTCCCCTGCTGTGCATTTCAGCAGAAAGAAAGGGGCTTTCTTGCAGGCTTCCTAGCTAAAAGTTGGGCAAAATTACTTTATTGTCTGAATTCAGATTAAGCTGTTACAGAAACAACCTTATTACAGAATGTCATCAATCCTTTTCTTACCTCCTAAATTCAAAGCCACGTTGTTACTTTAATTCAAAATATGTAAGTCCATTGTAAAAAGTGACAGTACATTAATGTTCTTTTAAGTCTCTTGTTCGGTGCTAGCTGCTGACTAGTAGTGTGGACTTCACTAGCCATATTGCATGAGTCCTGTTTCTGGATCCTGCTCTGACTTCCAAGCAATAAAGAACTTAGTTGGAATAGCTCTCTTGAAACAGCCAGAAGAAATATTAACAATTGCCTTCTCTTTAGGCATTTGTTTGCTAGAATTAAGATTAGCTTAGGTCATTACCACTGAATTATCTTTAGCCCAGTTATAATTATACGCTGATAGACGGGTAAAGCTGTACATCTGGTACCTGTTGCCAGTAATGACTTGACTGTCAGTGATACATGAAGGACAATTTTAAGAAGTGCTCTGAGTATTGAGTTCTGATTTTTAAACTCAGCTCTTCACATGAAGGTAGTTTCATGCTATCACAATTCAATCTTTTAGTTAACTTTCCAAGACTAATGTGGCTTTGCTCTTTGAGATCAAGCTGTTCCTGTAATGAAATTCAAATTTCCTAAAAACCTGGCAAATTGTGGTACAAGCACTTTCATTTTTGACAGATTACATGTTCTTTTCTTTGCATTCTTATTTGCAAACATTTAGAGGATTTGTGTTTGTCAGAATCACCAAATGTAAATCGCTGTCCATAAAATCTTTAAACTACTTGATGTAACTAATAAGATACCTATACCACTTTGTTAGCCTGTATGAGAACTGATTAAAAATAACTTATCAACAATGCTAGAGATGCATTAAAATACAGGAAATGGTGACTGTTAAAAATCTACTTTTCGTATCTTCAAAGTCTGATTATACCTTCTGGTAATGCTGTTTCAGCGTTGGACAGATGTATAAGTAAACCCCCCAAATTTAGCTGCATGGTGTCATTCTGAGGTTAGTGAATTGCAAAGGTGTTGTATACACTGGGGAATTAATGCAAGTGACTTCCTTGCAGCATTAAGTAATTTATCAATTTAGAATGTCTTAACTATGTTTCTCTTATTAGGTATGCTGAGCAGATGGGATGATAGTCAAAGATTTTTGTCTGATCACCCATACCTTGTATGTGAAGAAACATCTAGATATCTCATGTTGTGGTGTTTTCATCTAGAAGCTGAACAGGTATGAAAATGTTTAAATCCTTTGAAAGCATACAGTTTCCCACTTGCACTATAGAAAAGCTGACCAACTTGATCAGCTGTTTAACTGTTTTACCCACCCACTCTCTACTCTGTTGAAGAGAAACTCTACAGTGCACTGTCACATATGTGTCTAGTCACAGCTAATTATCCGTCCCCTTGCTTCTGTGAGCATCATTTCTCATCTATTTAGAAACTAGAACAAAAGGATATTTTGCTGGGTTTTAGAAATATAATCACAGGAAATATCTTTAAATAATAACTTTAACTTTTTTCTTCCCCTGCCAGAAAAGAGCTCTGATGGAGCAAGTAGCACACCAAGCAGTTGTAATGCAGTTTATTATAGAAATTGCCAGAAGCTGCAATGTGGATCCAAGAGGCTGTTTTCGTCTCTTTTTCCAAAAAGCCAAAGTAAGTCAACTTTGGTAATGATGGGAGAAACTCTTGATGCTGTACGAGGGAAGGTTTCTTGCTAACATATCAGAAGCTAAATATTTCATTGACTGACTTAGGCTGAACAGAAAGTGCTTTGTTAGCAATTCTTTTCTAGACCGAATATTTTGATGTACTTATAATTCTGAAAATGAAGGTTTAGTGGATTTTGCTTATCCCAGAGAGAAAGCAAGGTACAGCAGCAGGACAACAGGGGTGTTACAGACAAGTAATAACCGCAGTAAACATAGACCATTTTAAGAACTGATTTTTGGCTGATTACACCTGTGTTTTCACAGCGTACCTATGTATTGTCACAACTATCCATTTCATATGCAGTTCACAGTGAGGGCCAAAATAGTGTCCCTTTCTTGTTACTGAAATAGAGCAATCCAGAGCTATGCAGGAGAAATGTGGGAAGACTGAAGTGCAAATATTTCATTTATCTCTTTGCAGACAGGAGAAGGCTATTTTGAGGCTTTTAAAAATGAACTTGAGGCATTCAAGACAAGAGTGAGAATCTGTTCACAATCACATGGCTTTCAAACTATGTTACTACATGATCTCAGTGTCAATCCTGGTCTTGTAGGAGAGCTGACATCTTTTTCACAGGTAGGTTCATTTATTTCTATAAATTAATTTAACTGAAGTAGGATTAGATCCTGCCTTGAGAAGCTGTGCCTTTCTGAAATATGAAGAGGACTATTTCCAGAACTGCTAGAGCTCAGGATATAACGTGCAGTATTAGCAATATGCAAGGCATATATGGGCTTTCTTTTTACTTGCTGAAATTCAGCAAGTATCAGCATAAGGTCAAAAGCATGTTCAGCGCCCTTACATCTGCATGCTTAAAGTAAACACTGCATCATAAAACTGATCAGATGCTAGAATTGTATTCACAGCTTTTACCACAAGCAGTGAAATGAGCTTTCAGTGTAAAAGGACTAATCCTATTCATGGGATCATTCAGGTGAGTCAAGCCTAAGGAAAGTCTCTTGTTACGATAAAAACAAATTGAGGGTACTTAAGTATTTTGTTACAGTACTAGTGATGGCCACATTCTGGAATGAAGAAGCAACATGAAAGACTATAAAAATTAGGTATTGGGGAAGGGCACAGAATTGAAACTACTTGAAATAAGTACCTCTCAAGCAAGATGCAACAGCTGAGTTTTAAGTGCAGTCAATTGCTAGAAATACTAAGACCAAATACAAGCTATGCCAGCAAATTTCAAGAATTCTTGACACAGTGAAATAATACTGGTTGATTTTTTTTTTCAGAGCTTATTTCCTTACTGTAGCAGTTTCTTGTCATCTTAAGATAGACAACATGAAGAGTCCTGCTTAAGCTAAAATACCTCTCCTCCCTCTCCTCCCTCTCCTCCCTCTCCGACTTAAGCTGTCAGTTTTTCATCTGTTGCAGAATACAGGTGATCTACAAGGTTCCGTAAAGACAGATGCCTGCAGCTTAACCTCTGTGATACAAAGAGATGAAGAAGAATCCAAAATGATGGACACAGTATAGTACTCTTAAGACTGAGGCCAAGTACTCTGTTTTCTCTTTTTTCTTTTTTCTTTTTTTTTTTTTTTCAAAGAAACAAACATGGCTATTTTCTTGACACTTATTTTTCTGGGTACTGCACTTTATTTTTGGTGTCAGATTTTTGTTATTGTTGTTGTTTGGTTTTAGCAGGGAAGGGATTTTGAAGGGTGGGTAATTCAGAAAAACTTGTAATAATGTTTGAAAATGTGCTGCTAGGTTTTTGGTTGTCCTTGAAGAGCAGGGTTCTCATATTGCCGAATGTGAAACTGGATGTGTTTTCTGCTACTAACCTTGCCTTTCATGACTTTAGAAATTAAAGTATGAAAAAAAAATCTGCACAAGTACAATGTTTACAAGAACCGGTAGATTCTTGGTAGAATCTGCTATTGTCTTACTACAGATGTGGACATGTTTTACTCTATGAATATTGGAGATCACAATTGTATTCATGCTACCTTGCTGACATTATAAGCTCTCAAATTTCATTATCACTAATAGCAATAAATCAATATCTGGTATCAGTATTTCAGATCTGAATGGATTAGATTAAAACACTGGCTTTCTACCTCTGTTAAGGGGATTTCAATGTTACATTGTGCTTTCATTAAACATAACTTGGTTTTGTCCTAAAATGTAAGCAATGCTTGTCTACATATGAGTGCTGGGTTGTACAATTTCTAAGAGTCTGACTCTTCTTGTTCATATGGCTAACTTCACTTTTTTTTTTTAAATGAAATCTCATTATGGGGAGAAGTACTTGATGGTGGGAACATGAGATACAAGGGTTGGGCTAACTAGGTTTCAGTTTAAGCAAAAAAGCTTTGTTGCAGTTCATATAGAGTAAGGTGTCACATGGGGTCTGGAAGGTATTTCATATGCTACTAAACTAACTTCTGACATTGCCAACTCAATTAAAGTGGAAAATCATTAAAAGCCTCATGTTTGAGGAGCTGGAAATCCAAATACTATTTCTAGACAAGGCTTTCTACCAAACCTCTGCAATACAAGATCCTATTATGCTTTTCTAACTTGCTGCTATTACAGCAGTTACATCTATAAAAATGTATACTGCAGTTGGAAGACTTCAGTGAAGACAGCTCATTATCTCAAATCATGGTATCAGTATACACTCTTGGCCCTTTACTGTATTGTTCTGATTGTATGTAAGGCCGGGAAGGTATCTAGATTTCAATAGTTTGATGAACACAGTCTACCTGCAGTTGCTAATTTAGGCAAAAGCCGTGCTGAGATCCAGTAATTTTCAGCTTTGGCAGAGATGGGGAAAAGTCTAAGTCTGCAATATATACCACCATGAGTATTAGTGCGTGGTAGCAAAAGTAAGAACTCCAGATCCTCTGACAGAAGTAGCATTTTGTGTATGTTGTGTTCTCTAGCAGTTCTTTTGCAGACAGACTAAGGATAAAGAGCAAGCAGCAGTGCTGTCCCAGATGCAAATTAGAGATAACCAGATCAGTAGTAATTTTTTTTAAGTTTGACAGATAGTCCAGAGAGGATGAAGTAAACACTGCCTCCTCCTTAATAATTAGTTAATTATTAAGGGAAACTAAGGGAAACTAGTAACTTCAGGTTGTTTTTTAACTGAATGTTTTGTACGAGGGTAGTAAGGGCAGTGTAGCACAGTGACTTGCAATTGCAACCGTTAGTAGTAGAGCACATTGATCTAGCAACCTGTGATACACTGAAAGTTTTTAAAGTTTCCAAGGGGCTAAAATTGAATAGTATGGGAGTAAGTGTTAAATCATAAGGAGATTCCCTCCCCCTTCTCCTTACGGCTAACTGAAACTTAAATAGGTTGGCAAAAAAAAAAAGCATAGTGCTTTTTATTGAAATAAAAATGCATAAATAGAAGTAAGCAGCACATGGGGGTTTCTCATTGTAATGTAATAGCTACTGTTTTGTAACCATGAGTTTTTTTAAGGAAGTGCATCTCTAAACATCTACAACTTCCATATAGACATTTCTGAAGATGAAAGTACAAGTGGTGCTTGCAGTGATAGCTGCTGCCCATATTGTTCATTTATAGTAATGGGAAAGCTTTAGAAATTCTACAGTGACCATTTTTTTTAGACTTAAATGTGTCTTTATATTGATAATGCTAATATTGGACATGCAAATGTAATCCAAGGTACATTAGCACCACACCTCCGTAGTTGTTTACAGTTGCTGCAAAAGGAGATTGGGACCCGCATTAGTAGGATACAGCTACTTCAGACATTGCCTAGACAGAGTTTTTTGTTGCTCAGGTTTTGCTGACTCTTCTTGAAACTCTCAATCTGGTGAGCATGAAAAAAGAGCAAGGAGAGTTCACTGAAGAATAGCAATGTCTGCATTAGCTGGACTGTTAACAAACCTCCACAGGTCACGCTTTCTAACTCTAGTTATCTAGTGAATAAATACAAGAGCTGGTCAGAGACACGATTAGTAGTATGAACTCATGAAAACCAGTCCAATAAAACTTCCTACAGTAGTATGACAGAGTTAATAATTTAACCACTGGGAATCCTGGCACTGGTATCAATGAGCAGTTTTTTCAAAGATAGTAGAAAAGATGCATTCACTAGTCAAGATCATCTAGCTACAGGCTTACCAGATTATGCTGAATCTGTTCAATACCCACTGTCTTTTTACTAATAGTCTTTGTGCAGCTGCACAAAGACAGAGCCTTTACCAAATGTGTAATACATCATTGAAACTTCGTTTCTCATGTCTGCAAGATAGCTGCTCTGAGGGCAGAAATATAAACATAGCAATAAGGCCAATCATCGAAGCCCATTGAAGCCCAGCAAAATCAACTAACATCTGTGCAAGCAAAGCTAAAAGAAGGTGACTGTCTTCCATGAGATCAGCCTATATGTATGCCCGTTCTGGTCTGAAATGGCTTTTTGCAGAATGGTGGTCATGGTTCCCTACAGCTTGTGGCTGGCTCCAGCTAATCACACATTCAAGAAACATGCTTTCATGTCCTTATCATTGTTTCACACTACATCTCATGAGTGAGTAAATCAATCAATGTGCTTAATAATTAAGCTGTATTCTGAAATGTGTTTCCTTCATCAGTCAATATTTGGAAACAAGTATTTTCTGAATAAGAGACACAAGAGTAGCTGCTTTTGTTAAAGTTAGTTACTATATTATAAAAATTAGGTATATTTAATATAAAAAAAATACAGCATTAAAGTGACAACCATGGGCAACAAAGTTTTATCATAATGTAAGATAAGGACAACGTTAGACTTTAATTATTGATCAGTCTGGTAGACTACTTAGACAAATCCTTGATTGCTGAATCTCATGTAATCAAGTGTGAGCTATGACAGATGAGCAGAAGTTACACCTATTTTCACCTGGGAGTGGCAGCATCTTTCTGGCTCACATCTGGCAACTTGGTTTGGAGGAAGGCATAGATATGTGGCCAGATCTTATTGGTTTCTGTTCCAGAGAATGATTTCAATAACCCTTTCTCCCTAAGGAAAAAAAAGAACAAAGCATTATAGAAGTCAAATTGTTTAATTCTTCCAGGATCTCCACCTCACTCTGGGATTGTCCTGGCAAGAGTGTGCCAATATGCATGTGATTTAACACCAAGAACAGCCATAACATTGGGAATACAGGCTGGACATGCATTACTCTTCCTCAAACAGTGAGCTATTGGCCACATCAGTTCATAAAACTGACAGCTGTCCACAGAGTAACAAACTACGAAGGGTAAAAATAAGAAGCAGCAATGCAGTTGTAAAGCACGTGCTATACAGCAGTCATTCAAACAGCTGTGACTAACCCAGGTATTGTAAATTTACACCTCAAGGATCAAAGAAGGTGCGTCAGAACGAGCAAGTGAACCAGGCACAATCAAGTTATTCTGAATTAGTTCTAATAGCTAGTTTTATCTGTGAAGTATGTTATCGGTAATAATAACAATAGCTTAGGCCTATGTCTTACTGTGGTGCTTTGAGGCATTTTCACTTCAGAAAGCTACCAGAGTCAAGTAAATCATTGTCAGTCTAACCACCCCAAAGATGGAGCAGCTTCCACTCAACAGTTTTGGTAAAGCGTAATGAAGGGTGGTGGATATAGAGACAGAGGAAGGGCAGTCACTTCAGGATGTTGTCAAAGAGAGTCTGATTTCTTTGTCTAGGCAAGATAAGACTACAAAGCTCTACATGATGACCTACTATTATCTATTATTAGCAATGTGATATTTGCAGCTTTACATTAAGAGCAACTTGGTGTATAATTTTGGCTCTTAAAAGAACTAATAATTTATTGTTCCACAGGGCAAATAGCAGTATTCTCAAATAGCTACTTATTCCCAATGAGTCTTGCTAGCTGTGCCCATCACAGTCCTGGTCTTAGAACAGCCACACTTAAATCCTGATTAACGTTTTTTCTATTTGTGTATCACTTCTTGACCCCTTGGCCTGGTTAGGAGGGCTTCTACTTATACATCCAGAAGAGAAAATACTGTTAAATCTCTCAAAAAAAGGAACCGTTTCTGTTACCCTACTAACCAGAGCTGTTGCTCAGAACAGTACTACAATGTATTGATTAATGCACAGCACTCCGTAAAGCTAGATATGGCTGCAGTGAAAGGCTCTTTTGCTAAGCAGGCCCCTGAAGAGGTTTCATTCAACAGTGAGAACCATACTCATTTTGCTAGGTAGATTTCTTACTGAATTGATGAAAGAGACATTGCTACTCATACCACGTTCACTGTTGCAGTATCTCTGTAACTCAAGAGATCTGCTCCTCACTATGCTAATGTGGAAAAATAGATTTTACTACTTACCGATAGTATTCTAGAACAGGTTTTGTTTGTGCATCATAAGCCTGCAGCCTCTTGGTAACTGTCTCTGGCTTATCATCATCACGCTGAACAAGTGGCTCTCCAGTAATATCATCAATGCCCTAATCACAATTAAAAGCAAACACTGGTGTATATTTCTTATTTCTGTTTTAAGTATGTTTTGTGTAATTTTCTATTTAAATTATCATCAGTTTCCAGTTAGTCTTCTGCTTAAAAAGAGAAAGGCTACTGCCCATATCTTATCTGGAATATAAGATGTTGACTTTCCAGTAAACCAGTTCATCAATTAAAAAATATTTTCATATTGTCAATGAACATCAGGTCATAGTAACTTGACTAATTTGTCCTCTGGAACATTCATTGAATATGGGAAATATACAGACAAAACCTTCATATATGAAGGAAAACAATATTGTTGGTAATATATTCCTGGATAACAGGAAACAAGCAAGAGACTAATTGGACCTTTGTTTGACAATACTGAAAGGAGGAAAGAAGTTAAAGGCCCTTTGATTTTAAGTTGCAAAACTGAAGAGCTATCATTTAGCAACAGCTGTACAGAAAATAGCATATAAGCCAGCCGAAGTTTTTCTAGGATTCAGTAAACAGAGGTAGGGACATAATGTATCTATGACAGCTCCTACTTTACTGCACGTTTCACATCCAATTTATTGAAGTGCTTTAAGTGATTACGAGGCT